GTATGACACACTCATAAAAATCTGAGTGAAAACTAAGGCTAAGCAATATCGAAAATCTATTTGCTGAGATTCTGCTGACGATATTTTTTTATTATTATTAGGTTTCCTAAAGACTAAGCCATTACTTTACATTCAGTAACTCTTTTAACAACCTACTGATCCCTAACTTTTAATCAGTAGTGTGTATTACAATTTCTTTTTCAGCTGCAAGAATATTTTGTTTTACAAATATTTTCCCTTGGATATTAATTTGGAAAAAAAAAGAGAAATAAGCAATTATTTGTAGCCCTCAAACCGTATTCACTTTATAGCCCTTAATCCTGTAATTGTGGACAAAGGTGGGCACAGAGGACTCAAGTGATCCTAATTTTTATTTATTATAAATATTATATCACTGTCTTCGATAAAGTTTTGTCTATCCATTTATGGTGATTTTTTTTTATTTATTTTGGGGGTATTTTTGAATTTATTTACTTCAAAAAGTACCATATTTTCTATGTAAATTATGCTTATTTTTATGTTTTATTATTTTTAATTTTTTTAACTACATTAAAATATCATTCCAATAAGTTCTTGGAGCTAAAACCTAAAGATGAAGTGACTTTGCTGTCACCTGGTGTCTTACTTCGCCTTATTTTAGAATGCTCTAAATTACAGTTTTTCCCATTCATTTCTATGGGTGCCCATTTTTGACCCAAATACAAGATTAAGGAGGGTTTTTTTTCACCCACTTAACATTGTAGAATTGAGTCAAAAAAAAGGAGGCAAACTTAGGAAAAGCAGACAAGTCTTGTACCGTTCAGATCAAGGGAAGTATTTTTTAAAAATAAATAAAAACTATTTTGCCCACATTTGTCCAGAATACGGTTTCGGTTTTAGGGTTAATTTGATTTTTTTTTATATATATATTATATACATATATATATTTTTCTTCTTGATTAATTTTGAATCTGCTTGGCTTTACTGATGTTTGGTTGAAAATGAAATGGATTGAAAGCAGTCATCCTTTGAAGCCATTAAACATCAAATTTAATCAAAAACCCTGACTGGCAACCATTTAAAAAGAAATAGATATTAATCTACTTTAAAATGGGAAAAGACATTAAAAGGCAGTTTTCATCAGATGCATGAGCACAAAGAAGCAGAAACGTCTCAACTCTCCCAGGCAGGACTTCTCAGTATTCTCATGTCATATACACTGCTACAGAATACACCCCGCCACAGATCACACACAGCGCTAGGGTGATCAAATGAATCCCTTTTGCTATTTAGTACAGCTTATTATTCAAGGACGTCTTGGAACAACTGCTTGGTGCACAAATGAAACAATCCCACACTTGACCTCCATTCTACATGAATGAGCATGTGACTCAGGATTTTTAACTGCTCAACTCAAGAACCATCTCCACATGCCAGTTCCTCTAAACATCACACAGATGAACAGGGTACAGAGCTCCTCCCCACAGTAGACAGAGACAGCCTGGCATTTCTCCCCACTCAGTGCATGGCGTTCGGCCAGTTCCCCAGCCCTCATCCCCACTCCAGTTCTCCCTGATCTGAATGGACAAACCAGTTTGATTGACGGCCCTGCTGACAAGCCAACATCCCTGATAGACTATAATTCAAGAGTGAGAAGGAGGATGCTAACTCTGCACTGAGGTAAACCCTGTGAGTGCAGGACACATATATCTGTCAGCTGTCTTTGCCAGTTGTCTTAAAGATGACTCTGCAGAATCAAGTCTGTATACTGTTCATGTATCATCACCATCCTCAATACCGTCTTTATGCTCTGCATTAACAATACACTTATAATCAATAACACAGTGCCAATTAATTTCCAGGACCTAACTAAAGGATGTAAAGCACATCTTTCTGTTTGAAAACTTACTCGTACTAGCTGCTCAACAGCAATTACAGACCACCAACCAAAACAGAAGTGATCAACCATGGCAAGGTATAATTAACTTTATACACTATGGACAGAAAGAAAGGTGGTGTGCACTAAACGACTATCAATGAAACCGTTTACTGCACACACAGTGGCCTATGAAATTACAATACAATGCAAATGGGAGTTAATGACTGAATCATAAAGAAATTAAAATGACAAAACTGATATGTTATCATTATTATTAAAAATGAAACAAGAGCAATTATTTTACACTATGTTTACAGTAAGATCTCTTAAAATGTCATTTATTTCTGTAAAGTCAAAGCTGAATTTTACTGACAGCAGTCGTTACTGTCTTAAAGGGATACTCCACTTTTTTTGGAAATAGGCTCATTTTACCACTCCCCCAGAGTTAAACAGTTGAGTTTTACTGTTGTCGAATGTATTGATCAGATTTTTTAATATTTAGAAAAATATCAGTAACCAGACAGTTTCTGGTCTCATTGACTTCCATAGTATATTTTTTTCCTACTATGGATTTGAAAACTGTAAAACCCAACTGTTTAACTCTGGGGAAGTGGTAAAATGAGCCTATTTCCAAAAAAAGTGGAGTATCCCTTTAAGTGTCACATGATCATTCATTCTAATATGCTGATTTGATACTAAACAGTTGTACTGCTCAATATCAATTTTTGTGGAAACCATGATACTTTTTATTTAAAGAACATTGTAACATTATAAATGGCTTTACTGTCACTTTTGCCACTAGTGCCTCAATAATGCTACTAACCTCTCACCCTTTTTCATCCACAAAAGCATTAATTGGATGCTTCATCTCACCTTATAAATAAGCCAATAAAATTGGAGCTTGCCAGGTCAAGAAAGTGCTAACAGTCTGAGGTAACATGCCATTTTGAGGATAATAGTACAGTATACAGCCAATGAGTTAAATCAGAGGGTTTAAATGTAAACGTTGGCTGTTAACTAGATTAACTGGCCTTGTAGCAACAGTCTCACATACCCAAGAGCATCACATAAAAGGAGGCATTTTCCTTTGAACAGTCCTAGACATGCTGGACAGGAAGTCCAATTTTCCTCTGGAGACAGATATGGTGATGCATCTCTCAGCTACATCCGCTGGTCCTGTCTCTGTTTCCAGGGTTCAGTCACCTCCTTTTAAAACTAATTTGCAAGTAAAAGTCTTAAAATCTTCCCATAGGAAGAGATTTCTTGATCCACCAATTAGCAGTCTGGATGAGCAGGGTGACGTAAACTGAGAAGTAAGCTGCTTTTGCATCACTTGTGTGAAAGACAAAATTAGAGGGAGGGAGACGGGGGAAGGAAGGGGACCGGATACTCAGATGAATCGATATCACGCGTGTCCTTGGCGAATGACCAAAAAGAGCTATGTGATACAGAGGAAGATACACTAGAAGATGCCCTCTTCATCTCTGCTCTTCTGAAGCCTGACCTACCACAACCCTCATACACTTCAATAGGGAAAAAAGTAAATGCTTTTGATATGCATAGATAGTATTTGTCTTTAAATTATAACCTTATTGCCATTTGACTGGGATGTATGCACAGTCACAACCACTGACATTTCTGGAACACAGATAATGTACCTTTGTGAAAACAAGTGTTTACCTGCCACAAGAAGTTCCACAATGCATCCCCAATAATTGTGTGGATCTGAGAAGCTACTAAACACAATATACACAAACTGAATAATAGATCAGTTTTAGATATTTTGTCAAAACAATTCATCTGGGTACATTTCTTCTGAGGACAATTATTGGTTCAAATTTCCACCATACCATATTAATGGTCACTCAAGTCATAAACAATGAGGAAACCTTTAAAGCTTCAGTTCTCATTGCCATATCCATTTAACTACATTGAAAGATCTTCATCATTGTATATTAGATTTGAAGTTACTAGTGTACACCTAAAAGGTAGGTGAAAAACTGAAAAACAGGAGGTGTTGACATAGAAACCCATAAATCCCAGACTGGGTTGCCATCTCATAATTATGGTTTGCTGCGAACCACGAACGACGTGCCAAGTGAGCTGAACTGTTTGAAGTTCAGCGAATTTCTGAACTGTATGAACGGCGTTTGTGGTTCGACTTGTCGAGACTGTTTTCCAAAGATGGACGAAGTGGACTGTCCTTATAAAATATCTTCTTATTAAACGGTCTGTACACTTATCTGTGGGGCTATTTTGAGCCTTGTTAGTGGTATTAACAAGCAATTTCTTTCTTTTTACGTATTATATGCCCCCATATACTAGCGTTATAATTAGATAATTATTTAGAGATACTTACATTACTTACATTCGATTATCATGAAAACAAATCTCAGAGAACGGTCGACTAGGTAACAATGTGTTAACTTATTAGGCCAAAGGTTCATTTTGCGCCAGACTAAAATATTTAGTCTCTTCTAGGAAAACAGATTACTCACTATTAACTAAAAACAGGCCTACTGTAAGTTATATTTATATCGATAGTACATGCTTTTGTTGAAGCCATCATCCTGCATTATCTCAACTTTTAATCATGCTCAACCACACAAATTTCTGGAAATTTCAACTATATTGCCCATGATTATAGAAAGAAATGAGCAAATCACACCAAAAGAACTCTTTAAGGCCCATCCACTCCCATTTAGCACTGTGATATACAATCATTCAGTACTATGCCAATTAATCTTCAAATCAAACTTTGTAATGTTGTGATTCACCTCGTTGGTTTATAATATTAAACAAGTACATCCCTCAGGGAAAAACTTCCAGAACCAAGACCACAAGTAGCGGGTCGGGGCGTCGGGCTAAACAAAATGGGACGAGCCCTTTGCCATGTCCTGCCCCAACTTTCCTGTTTCCACAGGACATAGCAATATCATGGGGTCCCTTAAACACATCAATGGGCTGAAAAAAAAAAAAACTATTTTGAACTCACTGAGTTTCTTTCAAAATAGCTGCTACAGCTATTGTCAATTTGGGAACATAAATATAGAGGGTCGAATTAGCTTCTTGCACTGTCCGAAGATCCCACATTTAATTTGTTGAAAAACAAAGTAAAAAACAAATTTTAGCGTAAACTTACCTGCGGTAAGGCGGAGTTGAGCTGTCTCTGAAGCACGTCTCTCTCGTGAAGAACATCCTGGAGTTTGGTCTGCGACTGGATGAGGGTCTCCTGTGTCTCCCGTAAAGACTCCAGCAGCTTATCTCTCTCATCTAACATATTCACCATCAGCTGTTCAAAATTAGCCTCGGCATCCGTGCCGTTCTGAGAGCCTCTCTGGGAACTCACAGAGTCTCCTTCATTTATGGTCGGCATCACTTCGCACATCATATTGTCAAATTAGAAATTGCTTTGATTTATTTATTTATTTTTAATTCAGGATTGAGGTGCACTATTAATCTTTAGTGCCAATTAAATGCATACTGATATCCATGTATTTTAAAATGCATCCTCTGATTTTACTAATTGCATCCCTGTCTGGATTCTTCACACACCTTGACCTCTCTGGTCCATGACTGTCGGCCTTTTCCGCTCTAACATTATCCACCTAGTTTGACTTGGAACTCAATGCATTTCGATGCACGCTCATCACAGCGCTCGCCACATGCATATTCCGATTTCAGCTGCTTGAACCTCGGCACCCTTCGCTTTAACATCCACCAGTTGCCATTAACCTTTCAGAAAACGTTGAAATTCGCGTCTGCCGCATCCTCCAGATCCATCTGCCACCATCATCATCATCTCCCTTCACGGCGAGCCGAGCGAAGCGCTCCTCCCTCTACGAGCTCATTCCCGCTTGCAACACAGCTATTCCGCTATCTACACAAACATTCGCGCATGTTTTAAAATATGAATGCACCGACGCTTTGGTGAATGTAAAGGTTAAACGTCTCCCACGTCGTCGGCGAAGATCATATCCACCCGGCGTGGCTCTGTAAAGCTCGTGCAAACAGCGTAAAATCGGAGTTCCTCACATCAGCACCACGCGACTACATGACTGTCATGCACGAGACGCCAGTGTGAGAAATGTTGTCACGCGCTGCGCCCTCTGGCGGCAGGCAGGTGTATAGAAATGACGGACCTATCATAAAGTTTTAAAAAATAAAAAAAAAATAAAATAAAGATAAATATATTAAAAAGGATTTTTGGAGCAAGTCTCATATTTATAATATTTATCTTCAATGTTATTCCGTATTTTTTCCCAATTTTGTTTTTATCTTTGTGCATTGTTTAATTAACATTACTGGCATCAAGTTTAACTGAAAGTAAAACATTTTTAAAGAACATTAAAACATGGTTTAGATTAAATAAAGTAAAAATAAAAGAAGAGAAAATGTGTTTAAAAAGAAAATATTTTTGTTTGGTTGCTCTATGTCAAACAGTTTTCATCAACACGATCAAATGTGTTTACATGTGTGATGTAGAATCTGATGAATCTTGACATGCAGAATCTATCAGGATTCTGTTTAAACTTTTTCTCGAGGTTTAGTGGTTTTTAATTTTTAGTGACTCTCCAATATATTTATTTGTATACATATTAGTACTTCAAGAACTTTCAAACGAGGAAAAAAACAGCGAAGATGACGTCATTGTTTTCCTGTTTAAAAAAACCCTGGGGCAGAGTTATGAATATACCCCGTCTGATTGGACGATTCATCTCACACATGATTTCTGCGTCCAATTAGCGTCCAGTCTTCGGAGTCGTTTGCCCTCTGAGATCTCGCGAGAATGTACGCGACCTTGAGTGTCAGTTCCATAATGGCTGAAGATCCTGGAGGAGCTTTCTTTAATTTCACCCTCATTTTTATCGGGTTTTCTTTACCTCTGCTAGAAAGATGGCAGGGCACACAGCCTCGATAAACGGCCACAGACCCTCGCTCTCGTCATGCCCAAGAAAGGGAACCGAAAACGGCTGAAATTCAAAGCCGAGGATGTTTGCTCGGAGTCAGGTAATAGAGTGAGACGAGCTGATGTTATGATGTGTTTTGCGTATAATATAGCCAAAGTCCACTTTAATGTCAACTTAATTTTTTTGTATTCCTTCACCCTTTTCCTCCCAGTAACTGTGGCTGACTATGCCAACGCTGATCCAGCCATCGTGAAGTCAGGAAGAGTTAAAAAGGCGGTTGTTAATGCAATTGAAAAAGAAGGTAACTTAATTCAGGAATACTAAAGTCAGCATAAAATCATTATAATCATGGCGGGACAGCCTGTCTCACTCACTTGAGATCATATCAATAGACTCTGGGTGGTTCTCAATATCCCTCCTCGTCTCCTCGCTCCTCAGTCCTCCCTCCTATGACCCGGAAACCGATCGAGCTCAGCCATCTTGAAGGACATCTCAATTCTCTAATGGGCTATATGCACGCATAAGTTCCGCATTTGACGCAAGGATGCTCGTCCATTTCCGGTTGTGTAGATTAAAGCGGAGGAAAACCGGAGAAAACGGGATTATGGCAGAGTCTTCAATATTTACTGTCCTCCCGTCTTTGAAACGAAACGTACATACGTTTAGATGTAATTTTATATATAGTTATGTTTATTTAATATGATTTTAAAAGAAGCATAAACACAACGAGGGGTATCTGTTTTATCTGTTTTTGTGACTAACGTTTCATTAGTATAACCATGGAGTATAAAATTCAATATAAATTCTCTGTATTGCATTGGACTCTACGATCGGCGGAAGTTATCGAGCATCCCTAATGCTTCACCGGAAATACCGCCGTGCATAGAGCCCATTGCACCGTGAGGATCGAGGAGTGAGGAGGCTTCCTGAGGAGTCATAAGCGAGGATACACAAGTGGATCCTACGCGGAACTGTTATACTGACTAAACGTGACGCACGTGTCAATTCTCCAAAAATTCTCCCCTTCACATCGGTCACAATCATTTTAATTTATACTTTACCTTTGCAGTTTATATAAACCACAAATCTCAAATATTTCAACAGTATAGCCTATCTTTATTATTATTTATTATGAATTTATTAAATAACCAAACTTCAACATCATAAGGGCAGATCCTTTTAGCGCTGCTGATGACACTGTGGAGTGACGCTCGAGTGATCAAGTACTCCAATGTATATAAAAAAGCTTTTATTCGATTCCTCTGTCCTCCTTTCCTTTCCTCGCTTCCTTCCCTCGCGTCCTACAGGGGGTGGAGCTGAGACGCAAGGAAAGGAAGCAAGGAAAGGAAACGAGGATGCACAAATAAGAAATGAGAAGCACCCTATGACGATCAATGAGTGCATTAGTGTCCACCCACATTTTCAGTGGCGTTGGTTCCGGAAGTGTAACGTTATATATTTTTTTCCATTCATTTCTCATAGGACTTTAAAAAATGTCTTTGTTTAAGGATGAAACCATCCAAACAGCTACGAGGTGAATCACAACATTGCAATTTTATTTAGGCTTTAGTGAGATAAAGAACTACAATCCCATGAACCATTGCAAAAAGCATAATTGATTTAAAAACTACTTATTGAAACATGTTGATTAAATATGAAACAATGTAATGCAAAATATGCATATAATTTCATTCTGAGGACCCATGAAACAAATTGTGGGATTTTACCTCTTGGTGACACTATACTAGAAAAAAAAAAAAACATGACTTCAATAGTTTTGTGATGTACAATGTGGTTAGTTCGGTATTTTAGACTTAAAGCCCTGTTTTAAGATCGTTTCTGATGAAATAGAACACTTCTTTTTCAGTGAAATTACTCTGTGGACTCGAGGCATCACAGGGTCCTGTGCAGGAGGTCCTCTCATCTGCAGTCGGTGTGAGTAACGCAGTTCATGAGAGCAGTGACGAACTGGACTCAGAGGAAGGGGATGAAATCAGAGGGTCCAGCAAAAAAAAAACAAAAGATGCAAAGGTAACCACTACCACTAGTGAGTTTTCTAATACAGAGTTTCCCAAATTGGGGTTTTTATGTGGGAAGTTTGTGAGTTAATGAAAAGAAACTTACTAAAACAAAAAAATTAGTAGAGTAAATATTTGATTTCTTAACCTGAATGTCATGTTGTTATTTTTGTGGTTAGTTCACCGAAACATTTAAATTCTTTCATTAATTACTCATTCATGTTCCAGACTCCGCAACACACAAGAAAATCGTTATATAAATGTTGTAAGTTATAATTATTAAAAATATCTTAATTTGTGTTCTGCAGATGAATGAAAGTCTAATGGGTTTGGAACAACACAAGGATGAGTAATTGACAGAATAAAAAAAAAATGGGTGAACTTATCCTTTAATTTTAAAATATTAAATTTAAAGTTTAAATATTAAGTTGGGGGGTACTTCTTTAATCTGTTATTTAGGTAAAAGTATGGCTGACCAAAAAAAGTTTGGGAATCCCTGTTCTAATGTATTCTGATATTATTAATTTTCTTGTTTGTTGACATTAATTAACCCCTGTTATTATGAATGTCAGAACACAGTGAAAACGTAGATGGAGAGGAGTATCCCATTGATATTTGGCTTGTGCTTGCTGCATACATTCGTCCAGAAGATGTCTGCAGATTCTCTTTGATCTGCAAGAATGCGTGGACTGCCACATGCACTGCTGCATTTTGGGAAACGACTCTACAAAAGGTGGGCTGCCGAAAAAAAATGTATTTAACGTATTATTAAGATTGCAACAGTCGGGTTAATCTTTAAATTAATAATTTTATATTTCTCCTAAGTTTTTAATTGTATTGTTATTCACACAATGCTTCATGGGATTGTCCTTTTTCCCTTATTTAAACCTGTCTTGTACTTTTGTCTTTTTGTCCCATTTTTCAAGTTTGTAATGTTGATTTACCTCATAGCTGGTTGTTTTTTTTTTTCTTCATGTCATAACCAGTGGTGGAAAGTAACTAATTACAAATACTTTCGTTACAGTACTTGAGTAGATTTTTTCATTTTTTCTACTTTCTTGAGTATAATTAAATTGTGGTACTTTTACTCTTACTTGAGTAAAATAAAAATAAAGTATTCAACTTCGCTACATTTATATTTCATAAAAAGTACAAAGTACTTTGACAAAGGTGCCGACCTATTTTTTACTGACAGTCTATGGTGCCGACGGAGCAACAGCGCAAGTTGCGATTTGACAGACACATTTCAAAACAACTGTGGTGGAGCCCTGCGCTTCAGCCAATAACAGACATATCTGAAGCACTTCAGCCAATAACAGACAGGTCTGACTCGGGTGCAAAACCAATCAAAACCTCCAGTTTGGCTGGGGGGCGGGGCGTTCAAACCGCGCTTTGACATTTCAATCACTGGCGCTCGTGTTTGAATCAGTAGCGCTAACATTTCAATATGTCAGTGACTGTAAGTGAGTATTCTGCTCATATTTAATTATGGCAACTACTGAAATGGGTCACACCATTGATAATACCAGAGCACTGAGCAGTTGAAGTAAATAAAAAAGCTTGCCTCAAACATGCATGGACGCGGTTTGCAATGGACAGAGCAAGAATGTAAGTGTCTAAAATACATGCACACCAGTTCAATTAATGGTAAAGCTTTCCCTGTTTAACAATACATTTAAACTAAATATACGAAGAAAACGTTTTACAAAGCTGAAAAAAACAGTGAAATATGATCGCATGATTGATCTGTCTATCAGATGCATGTAAAAGTGTAGTTCGTTCCTATAGCAACAGTGGGCTCACAGCACATTTTCGGTTGGCTACGATGAAAAAAAAACATCATTTAATTTAACATGTTAATCATACCCCATTAATTAGTTTTTTTTACTTTTTTTATTCATACTGTTTTATTGTTTTTCATACCTTTTTAATCGGACCTCTCAATTAACCTTCTTTTGCTTTCAATTATGAATGATTCAAATCAAAACATTCAAATTACCTTACCTACACTTCCTTTTCAAATTTAGTAATACAAAAATTGCTCTTGACAACAGAGGAGCTAGTAGTCTATATGTGGAGCACTTTTATCATTGATGGATGCACTTTTTTGGGGCTTCAAATTTTCTCCAGTCATTTCACTGCCATTATAAAGTTTGGAAAGAGCCAGGCATTTTTTTAATATAACAATGATTGTATTCGACTGAAAGCAGAAAGTCATATCTTTCTAAGATGACTTGAGGGAGAGTAAATCGTGGGCTAATTTAAATTTTTGGTGAACTATCCTTTAAAGTCAT